CCTTGTTTTAGGTAACAGTTCTTAGCAAAGCTGCTTGCACTTGTTTATCTATGCATAAACACTACTGCTTACTGCACAGAGGGCAAATCACAGTACAACTACAAATAATAAAACAATAGTTCATATGTCCCATGGGATGAATCAAAATGAATGACCTATTTATTACAGTTAAAAAAAAACCCAAAAACAACAAAAAAACTAACTTTTAAAAAGTCTGGTCTACAAGAAATGAAAAATAATTATAAAGAAAGAAGAAAAAATGAAGAATGATTTTAAAACCAGGTTTTAAAGCAAGATTATTTAGACTTTTTCCATGTTCAGTTTGTGCTGGATCTCTCTTTTATCATACAGTTTATATTGTAGTCCATGTAATTACTGAAAAAAAAGCCTAAAGATGTAATACGTCTGGGATGTTCTACACTTCCTATCACACCAACCAGTTTGACAATGTGTGTGTTTTGACGAATCACTTTGTTTCAGCAAAAAATGTATTGAAGCTTCAACTTTTTGAAGCAAAAAGCAGTAACTATTGGAGCCTTTTATAAAATTAGTCAGGTGAAACTGTAACACTTTATCGTTGCAATTTATCACTGAAGCCTGATAAGAAGTTGACAGTTGTCAGTGTTGGGACAATATATAATAATATTGAAAAGTCATATGACTTTGTGTGAAAACTTCATAATGATTGGTTTAATAAAAATAGTTCAAAAAGATGCATGTTCCCCTCAGATGTAGCTAGGGGTAGAGAGGAAATAACATGGCAAGTAATCTCTCCAGCTCGATATGTGGCACATCGGGTAAGGGGCGAGTGCCACCCGCTCTATTTTGGTGAGGATTAGACGGGGTTAAGCAGATTAGACTTAGACTGGTTTATTTATTTCATTTTTTTGGCACCGTCCTCCGTCCACCTTTGCAGCTGCTAGGGTCATAAGTCAATGTTCATACTTAACCAATGGTTAGTTGACTCTTACCTTTAACTTCATACTCATTGTGTGTATTAGCTCAGCTAACTGTATCCTGGTTTTTGCTCTTTCTTTGTAAATATTGTTCTTGTATCACACACTTTTTGCAAGTGGGAAGCAAAGTAAAGAAAAAAGCATTGACTGAAATTGCAACTACGGTGCCCTTGCGTCCTTTCCTTCCTTCTTACATGTGAAATGCTGAAAAATGTGAAAAACTTTTGACATTGTTCTTCCAAAATGAATGAAAGCATGAATTATTTGCTTTTCATGCTCTGAAACTTTAGATTAGAGATACGTTAATATATGACAGTAGTTCCCAAACTTTTACAGTTCCACTTCAGACTAGAAACCCTCTGCTACATAGCCTCTTTCACTCCTTGTACGTATACAGGCACATATTGCCATGATGCTTATGCAAGACGTTTAGCCTTATAAAATCAGTCCACCTTAAAATATCAAACATGTTTATGATGTGATCACCTTTTACACCAGACATACTGAATAATACAGAATTAATAATGTCATTTACAAGTGCACACTGGTCTAAATAAAGGCACTTCTGCATGTGTGAAACAGTCTGTGGCTACAGACTATTAATTCACTACAGACGCAAACTATAAACCACGTCTGAGAAAGATAATTTGAAAACACAGCAGATAAGCAGTGTACATGCCTTAACAACAGCGAGTAAACGATATGCACTTCACCCATGTTCATGATAAACTACTGAATGACTTGTAAGTTATTTTCTTCAGAATGTGTGATGCACAGAAGGGACCAGAGTGAAAGGTCAACTAACCATTGGTTAAGTATGAACATTGACTTATGACCCTAGCAGCCGCAAAGGTGGACGGAGGACGGTGCCAAAAAAATAAAATAAATAAACCAAAGTCTAATCTGCTTAACCCCGTCTAATCCTCACCAAAATAAAGCAGGTGGCACTCGCCCCTTACCCGATGTGCCACAAAGAAAAACAAAAACGTATGTGTATCGCAGGCACATAACAGTTGGAAATATCCATATTTACATTCATTTTCATTATAAATTAAGAATGCTTTTATGGTGCTGCGAATGCAGTTATCAGCACAGATACATCATGGGTACTAAGATGTTTTCAACAATTTCAAATGTGATAGTAAAACCAAACTAACTAAAACCAAACAACCTTTTTAAACTAAGGACAATGATAAAAATGGTATTTCTGAAGAGAACAATTTCCTTTGCTTGACTTGCAGTGCATCTTCAAATGATCTGTTCAGGCATTTTGGTCAGACGTACATCTGCTTTACACCTGTAATCAAAACAGAGATGGAAGTAGATGGGTAAAAAAGTAGTAGATGACTGAAATGTATCAAAAAACATTAAATGACCTAGTCTGTCACGGGCCATGTCCCACCTTTTGTATTTTGATGCTCAGACTGAGCCTCTCTCACCTCTTACTTGTGAACCACAGAGCTGTAGATCACCCCTTCACTTCTGACTGCTGGAGAGAACTGGAAAATAGGACAGCTTTAGAAATGGAGGATCTCTCATTCTACCACTCGGAGTGCTCAGCTAAATGCTTAATAAAGCTGAGGATCCTACATTAAAGTGAGATATTTCTCATCAATACTTACAGCATTTAACCAGCTAATAAAGCCCTCTTAACCTGAACTGTCATGTGGTCAAAGCAGTGAAGTGTTACTGGTCTTAATAGTGATATTTTTAGGAGTTCACTTACTGTTTCGTTTTCGGTAATTGTGGTTAGATTACTGTAGATCACATCATTTTCATGAGCCAGTGCAGATGAAGTCTATGGACATCAATTACTCAGGTTCACTCAATCTCTTAATGTGTAATCAAATGCTGTTAATATGCAGATGAATGTGAAGAATAAAGTCTTACCTCCTTCTTTGTCTTAATCACAGTACTGTACGTCACTTCAGAGTCTTCAGCAGGAGAGAACTTTTCACATACATACACAAACACACACAAAACTAGATTAGCAAGGTGTTTATACACCCATAAAAGTATTATATTCACGTTTCTGAAAGCTGGGGAGGGAGCAGTTTTGGAAAGGCCACCAGTCCTGGGCACAGCACTAACTACTACTGCACCATGTGTTTGACCAACAAGACCAAAACTGCACCAGACTGCATGAAGCCACCAATCAACCACAATACTAACTGTGTTAACTGCAGTGTTATCCATCCTCCCTCTGGTCTCTGCTTGCTCTGTTGGAGTAAAAAAGCAATAATAAGTAGTAATAAATTATGATACACAATAAACAGTGAATCTTTCTTTTAGTGACCCCAAATTCACAATATGAGCGTTTCTTAATAGTTATGAAATAAGTAATGAATAGCAAACTTATTTGTTGATACTGACTAAATTTGTGCTTTTTAATAGAAAATCTCAATACTACATTTAAAAAAAAAGAAAACAGCAGACAGTGAGTTTCACTTACTGCACTTTGTCCTCAACATCCAGGTTATAACGGTGAGCAGAATCAGCAGCAGCCCCAGACCTACAGCCAGTAGAACCCAGACAAGCATGGTATTTCCACTGCTGCAATGAATGAAGACACATGGTACATATAAGTTAGTGCTGCTTATTTTTGCAGTGCTTACTGAACCAGAAAAAAACACATCTCAGTTCTTCTGTGATTCTGTGTGATTCATGTACAAACCTTCCAAAACAGTTGGGACAGGACATGAGATACAGATAGAAACCAAAAGGCTGCAACACATTTCAAAACAGAACCTAAATAAATACTTTGAATGAATGATTCTTTCAATGAAAGTGATTTTTTGAGTAGAGTAAAACTAGTTAAATTGCTTGTTACCACATGAAGTTCTTTTTAGGTTGAACTGAAAAGCCATTTTTACAGTGTATTGTTACAATCTTGACATTGTACCAATAGAAGAACGCTTTATGGTGTTATATAGAAACGTTTTTTTAAAAAAGTTCTATATAGAACCATATAAAACACATTCTCTATCAATCTGAAGAACCATTTCACCATGCAAGGAAACCTTAATCATGCAAAGGGTTCTTTGAATGCACATGGTTCTATATAGAACCATTTTCTTTACTTAAAGATGTATATTTTTTTAAGAGTGTAGAGTGTAAAATAAGTATTATATTATAACTTGATTTTGTACTTAAATAATCACACCAGGGGTTTAAGTGTGTGCTGGAAAAGAATTCCTTTCACTCTGGTCCCTTCTGTGCATCACACATTCTGAAGAAAATAACTTACAAGCCATTCAGTAGTTTATCATGCACATGGGTGAAGTGCATATCGTTTACTCGCTGTTGTTAAGGCATGCATACTGCTTATCTGCTGTGTATTCAAATTATCTTTCTCAGACGTGGTTTATAGTTTGCGTCTGTAGTGAATTAATAGTCTGTAGCCACAGACTGTTTCACACATGCAGAAGTGCCTTTATTTAGACCAGTGTGCACTTGTAAATGACATTATTAATTCTGTATTATTCAGTATGTCTGGTGTAAAAGGTGATCACATCATAAACATGTTTGATATTTTAAGGTGGACTGATTTTATAAGGCTAAACGTCTTGCATAAGCATCATGGCAATATGTGCCTGTATATGTACAAGGAGTGAAAGAGGCTATGTAGCAGAGGGTTTCTAGTCTGAAGTGGAACTGTAAAAGTTTGGGAACTACTGTCATATATTAACGTATCTCTAATCTAAAGTTTCAGAGCATAAAAAGCAAAGAATCTATGCTTTCATTCATTTTGAAAGAACAGTGTCAAAAGTTTTTCAGCATTTCACATTACGTGTAAATTACTTCTCTCGCTCCCGTCTAAAGTCATTTGCTTTCTCAGAGGTTATAGAAGAAGAGGTAGTTTTTATTCTGTTAAAATCCAAAAGAGAGAAAAACATGAAAGCACAGCGTTTTTTAAAGACTAACAGAACTTAACGACTAAACTTCCGTACTTACTGGTTTGTGCCTTCATTTCCACTTATAGTAATAGAACCTAGAAACACCAATTGCATAAATAAATTATTTCTATTACTCGATTAATGAAATTTAAAACACATTTATTGCGATCATATCTGAAGTCGTCTCACTGAGGCTGGCAGAAACTGTAGTTGCAGCTGTTGTTGCTGTTGAAAAGGAGATACAAACCGGTGTGAGTGGCACAATATTATAGGTTAACGGTCAGCAGGTTTGAACAGTATTTCTGATACATGTGATCTTACTTGAAGGTCTTTCAGTGACAGTGAGGTGAACAGTAACCCCCACATCTCCTGCACTGAACCAGTACCAGCCAGCATCACTCTTCTGCAGACCCCTCATCTCCACACTGACCGATCCATTTCCATTGTCAATGACCAGCACTGCTGAATTCTGGGATGTGTTAGTCCTCCCCACTGTGAAGCAGCTCCAGTCTTCAAACCTGCACCACTTCTTCTGTTTATTCTGATATTCAGCACTATAGAGACACTGGACACTGACACTGCCCCCTTCCTGACCACTCACTCTGCTGTTTATCACCAACACAGCAGGATCTGAATAAAGAGGCAGAGAATGAGTGGTCTAAACATGAACTCCATCATAAGTGACACCTTCTAAGCGTTAAGTTACAGCGAACACATTTACCCTCACTCCTTACCTGCACTAACATTCAAGTACAAACGGTCACCGTCATCTACACGGCCACTAATATCCACAGCATACCAATAATATCCAGAGTCAGAGTCTTGGAGGCTGTTCAGTTCCACAGTAAACATATTCTGTGTTGGATGATCAGTGACTGATATTCTTCCACTTGTGTTTGTAGAGGCTACTATGTTGCATGAGGACCATGAATGCCCCTTACACCAGTATTTACGGTTTGATTTGTATTTCTCATCATAAAAGCATGGAATACTGAGAGATCCTCCACGTCTTACAGCTAAATTCTTCAGTGTCCTCACGCTTTCAGAATCTGCAGACAATAATACAAATTATCAACTGCATTACTCCTATTCAGGAACTGCACCACAATTCTGAGTATGAAAAGAACAAGTAGTTGATGACGGAGCAAATGCACTTTCAGTGAAACACATTCACTTCCTAAACTTAATGGACCTCCACATCCTAGAGCTTATTATCCAGTTACTACATTGGAAACAATACAAAATGATGTCAGTGAATGACTTGGGTATACGTTTAACTGAAATTTCCCACTCTGCTCCCTGAAATCTGAGTTAATAAAAGAAAAAAAGAAAGAAAAAAGTCTTCCTTTTTGTCGAAATTGATTTTTCTACATCATTTTAACACAGCAGCTGTCATATCTCTCTGTCATATCCCTATGCCGTAATTATGAATGGACCAACAGAAAAGCTCCAAAATTACTTAGAAAATGACTTATTAACATTGACTTACATTAAAAGTTAAGAACATTTTTGCCCTCTACTGAAAAGTTACTATTTTTGAGGTGTGTGTTTGTTTGTTTGTTTTTATCAGTGATGATAATTAAAGCAGTGAAAGTGTCAAGAACACAAATTGTGTCCATAGGAATGGTGCAGCATTGATCTTACCTGAGATACAGAGGAGTAACACAAAGAGAATTAAAGAACTCATGAGTGAGTGAAAGTCCATGTTTCTGTAAGAGCCGCCAATGACAAATACTCTTCCTGCTTCTAAGTGAGGCAACTTCACAGTAAAGTCAGGGCCCTTCCTGTTCTGTTTTTATCTGTTTCTGTTTCTTTATCTTGCTCTTAAAGCATACAGGAAAAGGCCTTTTGACTCTCATGTGAAATAACAATTTAATTATTACAAATATTTAAAGTAAATACATAAATATACATTAAATTACATATTAATACAAAAAAATGCATTTTACATTGTTGGTTTTAGGGCTCACAATTTTTTTTACATTTTCTAAATAACAATTTTACCTGAAATGTAACTTAAATGTTAGATTTCTTTCATATTACTGCTGTAAGATCAAGCTTTTAAACAAAGATATTTTCCTGGCCCTTATGCTCATATTTCCCAAGGGTGCCAATAATTTTGGAGGGCCACTGTAAAGGCTATGGGTTCTATTTCTGTGGTCGTAATACAAATGCAAAGGTATAGCATAGGTGGGGGTGTGGCAGATATATTTTAGTATTGTCATGACCAGCACTGCAGGCTCTAACTCACTGCAGAGCTGCAGAACTGAAAGCAGAGGCAGAGTTAGAGTGAATACATTCAATCAAAAGGCTTGGTTAGGTATGCTGCAGCAACAGCCAATCAGATCAGCACCTCTCATTCTCTTTAGGAGCTGTGTGATAGTTTCCTAATGGCAGGAGATCACTACCTTCCTGTAGAAGAGACTCCAATGTTTGTAAAAGCACAAATCTACGGAGCCCTGTTGGTGACATCCCATATAATTAAGAATAATGCGGGTGAATGAGATCCTAATGCATGGCTACGACTTATTAAGCCGTGGGAGCGAGATAATTAATTTGTGGCCACAACTTGGTAAAGAGGTAACTGGCTACGCATTAGGATCTCGTTCCCACGCCTACTAAGTTGTGGCCATGCATTATTTTTAGTTATATAGGATGTCACCAGCGGGGCTCCATACTAATCATCATAAACAGCAACATTATTAATAATTGTAATAATACCTATTCTTCTTCTTCTCATTATTATTATTATTATTATTATTATTATTATTATTATTATTATTATTATATAGCACTTTACAACTGGAATAGCTCAAAGTCCTTTACAGTCCTAAAAATTACATGAAAATAAATTAATCCACCCCTCATTCAAGGAATAATTCTGTGAAAGGCAGAGACAGAGGCAGGACGCAAGTGCGTTATAGGTGCTTTATATAAAGAAAGAAATCAAAGCATATTCACCAACCTATAAAATAATACATAAGGAGTAACCTGTAGCCACATTATCAGAGCAGTTAATCAAATTTGATCATTTCATCAATATTATGACACACTGTAATACATTGTAAATGGTTGAAAAAGAAGGCTAAAGGTAAATGTAAGTTTTGAAAAAGGAGGCTAAAATTAAATATATCAGTCCAGACTTTTATACCTTGCTCACACTAAAATGACAGGAGTTTACTGTAGTATTAATTACAGTAGCCTAGTCTTACCTAATCTTGCTGTACCTTGTGCAGCTATACATTGTCAGAAAAAAAGCTACTGTGCAGGTAGAGTTTTCATCCATCAAGGTGTAAATGACATATATGTAATGTGTACCTTAACATTTTCCAAGGGAAAGGTACTTACTTGTACCATTTCAGAACCTAATGATTTAAAATTGAACAATAAAATAAAAAGCCTGGACACATGACTGGGTGTACAGAGTCAATACAACTTATCAAACATAACTGCAATGGACTATGGTATAATTACACTATACAGACAAAAGTATTGGGACACACCTCTTGATCATTGAATCCAGATGTTTCATTAAGTCCCTTTCAGACAGGTGTATAAAATCAACTACCTAGCCATGCAGTCTGCCTTTGCAAACATTTGTGCAAGAAGGGGTCATTCTAAAGAGCTCACTGAATTTGAGCATGGTACTGTAATAGGCTGCCACCACTGCAACAAGCCAGTTCACCAGATTTCTTCCCTCCTAGATAATCTACGATCAACTGTGAGTGGTATTATTAAAAAGTGGAAGTGTTTAGAAACCACAGAAACTCAGCTACGAAGTGGCAGACCACGTAAAGTTACAGAGCAGGGTCACCAAGTGCTGATGCGCATAGTGCATAAAAGTCGCTAATGCTCTGTTGACTCACTAACTGCAGAGTTCCAAACCTCCTCTGGCATCAACATCAGCACAAAAACTGTGCGCTAGGAGCTTCATTGCATGAGTTTCAATGGCTGAGCAGCTGCACACAAGCCTTACATCACCAAGCACAATGCCAGTCATTGGATGGAGTGGTGTAAATCACGCCACCACTGGACTCTGTAGCAGTGAAACGTATTCTGTGGAGTGATGACTCATGCAACAATCATGCTGCTTGATAGTCCTAGGTCTACCCCCTGTAGTAGTATGTAATTTCCTGTAAATAAAACTAATTAGTTACTAGTAATGTTTGCTTTACTTCTAAATGTTGACATCCTAGCTGTTGACATAGGTTGCATGTCTTCAACAACATACCTGGCAGTCAGTCTGTGACTATGCAGTCTGTGCAGATGAATTTTTGGGTTTAAAATCAAGCATTGGCTGTTTCAATGGGGTGGCTCCTTTGTCAGTGGCGCTAGCACTGGGGTCTTTCTCGATTAATGCTGTAGAAGCATGCTGTTTTACATAAGATTATCTTCCTGGATCAGGGCCTTGCTGTGGCAGAAAGGCTTGTGGCGTCTAGTTCCAGTTCCAATATGAATATTACTTTTTAATTTTATTCATTTTCACAATTTTTTTTGATCCTCAAAAAAGTAACGCTTGAAGGTCTTAATCTATTTTGTGATGTTTTACTCAAATGAGCATATTACTCTAGTACTGGCAGCACTTCACTGGTCACCTGTTTCATACAGAATACATTTTAAAATTTACTTTCTAACACATGATTACTTTCTGTCCCAAGAACAAAATGCAAAAAGACATAATGCTGCTTTTAGTATTTGTGCTGTAAAACTGTGAAAGTTCCACCCACGAAAACTATGTGAATCATCCTCAGCTAGCAACCTGAAAAAGCAGCTTAAAACCTTTTTACTTCAGCTTTTCTCTACATATTAATTTCATATCATTTCATTTATTTGTCTTATTTTATTATTATTCTTTCCTGAACTAGAATTCATTGTTTTAAGTTTTTTTTTATTGATATCATTTGTAAATTGTATTTACTTCTTGGTGCAATATATTTATTTCCCACATTATTGTCTAAAGTAACAGATGGATCAGTCCTGCTATAAGCAAACCAAATAGAGCCTGCATAATAAGAGTGTTGTGCTTTTTTTTTATTTTCCTTTAGCTGCAATTCCCAAGGTGATGTGGTCTGCTATGGTCAGTGATCTGTCAAACTGCCTGCCCCCACTGAATCTCCCTCTTTTACACAGGTAATTCATTTTAACATGTGAACTATCAGAACAAATCAGTCATCAGTCATTGTCATTACTGAGTTGTTTCACTTTCTTAGATCACAAACAGAAAATAATTCTCACTGGTTATTGTGAATAAACTAAGACTTCATCCTACAGTAGAAGCACAATAACGATACACAACTGCACATACACTGCACACACAACTGCACACTGCTCAGAACACACACTGCACTATAATCAATCAATTGTTAAAAACAAGGCAGAAAATAGTGATTATTACAGCATTTTAGGGTGTAATAGATTATTATATATTATATAATAGAACAGATTATTAGGATGGAAAGTAAACAGTGATGACACTTTTATCATTCCAGTACAAAACATGTCCATTATCTGAATGGCCTATACTTTTACATCATGGACATAAAAATTCCAGCCTATATGGTGCTGCAAATGCAACTACAGGGAGGAGTGTAGAAAAGGGTTACTGGTGGTGTTTTTTCACTGGACAGTGCAGCACAGCAGGGTACATTTACTAATCTAAACTATGTACCCTGGTTGAGTATCTGTGTCTGTTTCCCGTTACCTAATAGAAATGTGAAAATAGGAGATGTTCTCTAACTTCTACAGTTACATGATTTCTGATGTGAATCTAAAGTTAACAGTGACCACAAACAACAGTAGCAACAATAAATCTGACACTACCTGGTGTAAAAACACTGTAAGAGTGAGACACTCCAAACATACACTTATGCTAGCAAATTTTCTACTTTTTTAATAAATGAGTCAAGACATGTTTGGTACCCAAATTTTGCTTCTTTAATTTAGCACTGGATCTATGCAGCTAACATTGCTAACAAATGCTAGAAGTCAAAAGCCAGTTTTTATAAATGAGTGTCATGAGTTTTTGACCTGAAGATTATGTTTAAAAATTGGAACAAAAATCGCAAATGTCATGTCCACATGCCAGTGGGGCATGCGTATGCACAAAAGGGAGTCGGATTTTGTAGGGTAGTCGGAATTCAGCACAACACCTGCATTTGTGTAGCATTCGGTTTTTGTGCATTTTTGTAGCTCACAGTAAATCATTCTGTGTCCTAAACCACATTGACAAATCTGCAGAATCTTAATGAAGACCTAGATGCAGTTTGAAGGGGTTGAGAGACATTTTGAGGATGTATTTATGGAAAAGATTTGGGTGACTATTGACTTCTACTGTTTGTTAGCAATATTAACCTTGAAGCTCCAGCACTAAACTAAAGAAGCTACATTTGCACACCAAACTTGTCTTGGCTGATCAACAACGTCTGAAAAAATGTGTTAATTTGATTTTTCACCAATCCATTCCTTTTTTTCCAAGTTTTCTTACCTATATACAGTGTACCTGCAGGTACTTCTGAAAGACTTTATACAGAAAGAAACAATATGAATCAGCAGGAAGTAAAAACTTTGAGCTAAAGTTTTGGAATGAAAACATTTTCATCATAAATGCCCCCTAAAGTGTAGTACAAACTCCATTGTCAAGTCACTTGCATTGCCATATCTTCTTTGTAAGGATCTGGCCAGGGATTATTTCCACACACTCGCTCACA